TTATTATTCAATGACAGAAGAATAATATTTTTAAAAGAAGAAAAATTTTAAGGATATTTTAGTCCAAAACATCCGTAATCTAACAATATCTAAGAAAATGGAAGTAATGACATTCTCGGTAATATATCCCAAAAAATTTACTATTGGTAATCTTACATTACCGGAAATGAAATTCCCAGACTAACCAAACGGAAGAATGTGAATTTCATTCCCATTGAAATCTCACATTTCCTGATCCAAACACCACCTAAATATTATGGGATTCCTACCTCTTTTTGTTCGAATGATCAAACAAATAATGTGGCGGCTCGGATTACGACATCAGCGTGGTTGGATTTGGTTGAGAACACTAGCGGCGATGGCTAGCTTGGTGGCAGATCAAAAGGTTATGATAAGAAATCTTAATCTGGGTTTATCTGTGCCAATAGATAGCTTCTAGATCTAACAGTGAGGGGAGATGAGGCTAGCTTGAACATAAGGAAATCCTAGTTGTGTTGGGTCCTTATGTGGGCTTGTATTGGGTTTTGTTTTGAGTTTTTGGGTAACATGTAAATTGGTTTAGGGTCTTTGACATGTATTTGGACTTTGAGATATGAAAACTTGGGTTTTATTTATTTATTTTAAAAATAATAATAGGTTACTAAATGATGGTGATTACAAGGAGTATAACTCTTTTTCCAACAAGCTATACGAATTCCACAAACAACATGACAAAAAGGACTGAAGTCTGAAAGAGAACGTTTTTCATTATTAATTTCACACTTCACTTTCTCAATCATGGAATTCCACATCTCATACCAAATGAAGAAATGGCTTATTAGTGTCACATAATCTAAACATGTTATAGACGGACTTTGTGAAATCAATGATGTAAGTTACTTTATCCCTCCAATCATCACTCACAAGTTTTTCTTTTACAAAGTTTGCTTTCCCTATGTCATCCTCTTTATAAGAATTTCATTAATCACTTATGACCATTTCTTGAAGTCCCTTCTTGATGAGCTTAAACCTTTTAAGCATCAAAATGATTGAAGCAAAACGAGTATCGACAACTGAAAGTAATTTAAAATGACTAAATCTTTGGAAGATTACTAATATAATGTTCTGGTTCATAATGAAATTCTTGATTTGTACGACATCCCCATGAATTTTAGTAATGTAATGGCACAAGTTATATTTTTCCTCATTTCCATCGATATTTTTTTCTGAACAAATGTTTTTTAAGGCAAGATTAAGCGTATAGACAACGCTTGGTGTCCGATAAATATGAGGATACAAACTCTCTATAATCTCTCTCGCTCCCTTGCATTTAGTTGGACTGTTAGTAATAATCTGCACCACATTTTGATGGCTCATCTCATCAATCAATTCTTTCATCAAATTGACAATGAAAAACCTATCTTTGACTTCACCAAATAAATTCACAGCTTTAAGATACATAGGCCCATCACTCCAACCTATCTTGTTGGATCACTCCAACCATCACACACAATAATCAATCCCTTTTCTTTTCATGTTGCTTTAATCGATTGTAAGCTTCTCAACATTATTTTCTTCTTGTTTTCTTATTGGAGCAATGTGGTTTGCAATTTATTATAATCACTGGAACATAACCAGGTATACCATGAGTTGTAGCAAAGGTGAAAGTCATATGATAAAGAGAATTTCTAGCAAGATTAAAGGGCAAACCACTAGTATAGAACATTCTTGCAATTTCTTCATCTAATTGGGCCATAGCATTCATGTCAAATGATTTAGCTAGAGGTGACAAACTAGGTTTTCTCTTCTTAGAAGAAGAATCGATCTCAACTCTAGCTTTAGATTGACAGGGCAAAGAAACTTCTCTAGTTGCTCATTGTTTCTTTTTCTTCTCCCACTCCTCTACCAACCTTTCCATTTCGAGTTTTTGATTTTTAATTATTTTTTTGCAACTTGCAACTCTTTCACCTAAAATTTGAAGCAAATGTGTCTTTATCCTAGTATAGCTTCCTTCACGAGTTTCGCCACAAATGTTACATCACTAATTCCAAGTTCCTCCCACAGTGCCATGTTTTTCTATCTTTGTCACTTAATCCCATAATGGAGATAAATTTTCATTTTTGTATAATGAAATTGACCCAATTCTACTAGCACATCTAGTCTCATTACCACTCTGAGATGTCATATTTAAACTAAATTGATATGTTTACATTAAACAAAAAAAAACAATCGAGTTCAAAGATCATACATCAATAGAATGGAATTACACAATCAATAAAACCATATCAACTCTATTGTTGCCTCAATATACTATTTTTTACACATATTTTAACCTAAGAAAAATTAGCACACGGTGATTCAAAACAAATAAATCCATAGAACATTTATAAAATGTAAATTCCAGCAGCTTTTTGTTGTATTTATTAACTATATTAGAGCCCTTAACAAAACCAAAACTGAACACGACAACTCAATTTGGAAAACAGTAGTGACCCTAGATCAACTCATCAAGGCACACCTAAATTTAATCACCAAATATACTATAAATCAAATATCCAAAGTAAAAAAAAAACAACAGTACAACAATACAACAATTATATTTTAAGTTTTTTTAACAAAATCATTTAATTTTATGCTCCTAGACTACATTGATTGTAATCAACCCAAAACATGTAATATTTTATCCACCAACAATACAAAAATTAGGCTAGCTTGCATTTTTTAAACACAAGAGACCACCAACCCTAAATGAGAAATTAGAGGAAAAATCAAAGCAAAATGGATGAAAAAAATTATACGGAGAAGAAGAAGACATATTTGGAAATAAAGTCCAAAGTTTTCAATGCATCGAGTACAAATATCTAGCCAACGTCGGCCTGTTGAACTGGTGTCGTCCTCTTTTCCTCTCCAATCGATGATTAAGAAAACAAATGAGATGGTTTTGTTTAACTATAAGAATAAAGCTGGCAATACATTAGGTTTTGTCTAAGAATGTTTGTTTTTAATGTGAAATGTCAAAATGAGATAGTCACATGACATCCCTGAAACATCCCCAGGTAAGCATCAAACATCTCGAAGTTCATTCAGATGTACCTTACCACCATGGAACGTCCCGATACGTATTTCAGTATTCCCTATGTCGTCCTCATACCAGGGATGTATCGGGTGCTTGAAACGGGTTCCTTTTATATCTTTTTACTTTATAAGTGTTAAATGGGGTCTTACCGATGAAGAAAAGATGTGAGTTTTCTTTGTGTCACATGAGTTGCCAGGGATAGGGAGTTGAGGGGGTTGAGAGTTTCCTTAGTTGTTTAGGATTTGTGCTTAGTTGTTTTGGGGCTCATTTTTTGGGGGTAGAATAGAAAAGGTGGTGCCTTTTCATTTAGGTTAAGATTTGGGGTGGTTCGACCATCACTGGTGGTGGTTAGGTATGGAAGAACATACCAATTTATGGTTAGCTAACTTCGGTCTTACGGAGCTTTAAAGAGAGAGTAGCGTTTTAGGTCATTTAGACCTTTGTTTGGTCTTTTCGTACTCTGTTGGTGGCGATTGGAGTGAGAATAACCACTGATGTATGGTGGTCGAGCCTTCTCTTAGTTTCTTTGTGAGCAGCGGTGGCTGAATGTTAGAGGATAGTTGTGAGGGAGAGTAAAAAAAATGAATGAAAGAAAAAGAAATGGGGTCTTTTAGTGTTGGGTTTGATAACAACCAAAAATTGTAAAAGTTAGCTTAAACATCTAGAATTAGTGTGAACCATTGTTTAATCATGGGTTTAGTCCCTTTACTTTCTGCATCTTTTATTTTTGACCCTAACTTTCAACTTTAGTGCAATTTAAACTTATGGCCTCACGATGACCCACCCTGGGGGTATGAACCATGTTATTATGGTCCAGATAAAAAATTAAAATCAACCTCCAACCTTTTATTTTCTTACATTTTCATTTTTTTTTCATTTTTTTTCATTTTTTTTAATTTTTTTTAAATTTTTTTGCTCTTTTTAATTTGCTCACTTCATATTTTCTTTTTTAATTTAGTCCTTTAATTTTCAACATTTAATTTTCTGTATTTTAATTTGTTCCTTACTTTCTATTTTCATTTATTTTTCCCTTTTTTAATATATTTTTAATTTTAACTATATATTTTAAATTGATTCAATATAGTTACTATATATGTTTTAATTTCTTTTAATTTCAATACTTAATTTTCAATTATATTAATTGAATCCTTAATTCATGTTTTAATTTTAGATTCTGAATTTTCAATCTTATAGTTTAGTCCTAGTTTAATTATTTAGCTTTTAGATTAAATCTTTAGATTTAGGTTCCTTTTAATTTAGTCCCTAAACTTAGTCTAGCTTAAGAGGATATTTAAAATGGTCCTCGCCTTTGCTTGAGGCTCCATTTTAATTATTCAACTTAATAAATTATTAAAATTTGCTACGGTTTAATACTAGAGCTTACATTTTAGGGGTAATTTCACTATAGTTCTTAAATTAAGAGAATGTTTAAAATGGTCCCCGCCATTGCTTGAGGTTCCAAATTAATTATTCGATTCAATAATTTTTTAAAAATTTTTAGGTGTTAATATTAGACCCTACACTTTAGGTTTAATTTCACTTTAGTCCTGATTTCTGATTTCACAAACCAAAACATTTTTGTTTTAGTAAAATAAAAATATTTTATTAAAATTACCTGATTTTAGGTGTTCCAATTTTACATTAAAAATGATTGATGGCTACTCTTATATTTTTACAAACATTTCAAAAACCTCTTCAAACTGTCCCCAAGAGTTGTTATGACATATACCTTTTTTCCGTTTAGGTGTTTAAACTTTTTTTGGAAGTAGATGTCTAACGTTTTTGACGTTACCATTTTAAGTGTCTATACCATCAAATTAGTTAAAAAATCTGTTAAAAATTAATGAATCAAATAGTGTTTGTGTTAGGATTTACGAAGCTCGATTGACAACCGAAAAAAGTACAAGAGGGGTGAATTGACAAATAGTGTTTAGGGAGTGAGGAGAAAGAAAGTAAAGATAATTTGGCACAAGGATTTATTGTGGTTCGACTTTCTCAATGAAGTCTACATCCACTACCTATGCTCCTCACTTATGATTTTCCAACAAATCCACTAATTTGTTCTTTCTTTTTCAAGGACAAAGAAATAACCTTTACAAACTCCTTAGCTTTTCAAAGGCATAGCTAGAACCAAAACCCTTTTACAAAAGGTAAAAAAACGTAAACAAAGAAACCTCTTAAAGGTAGGTGTTTACAAAATTAAAGCTCACAAAAACACAACTATTTACAAGATAAATGAAATAAAGAGTGAAAAGCTCTTCTCTTGTGTTTGATTGCTTAGATATGTGTTCTAACCATTCTTCAAATGTCTTGAACTTGTATTTATATGTTCAAATAAGGTTGTGGTCGTTTCTGGCCGTTGAGAGTGATTTGGAGCCGTTTGGAGACGTTTTCTCTGCAAAATAAAACTGCTCAGGACATAGGATATCAAGACTCCTATAGGGAGTATCATTACTACCTTTGTAATATTTAAATAAAACTAGCCGTTACTAGTTGTTGGGCCTGATGGTCTCGATACTGTGACCATGGTATCGATACTACTACGTAAAGTAGTATTGGTACCCCTTTGGGTATTGGTACCCCTTTGGGTATTGGTACCCCTTTGGGTATCTGTACCTATTTTGCATTCTGGAATTTGAGCAAACTGGTACTATCAGTACTATCTTGAGAATATCAATACCAATCTTACCTAGGGTATCAGTACCACATGAACAATATCAGTATTGTTCATATAGTATCGATACTGTAAGAAGAGTAACGATACTTCATACGTGAAAATCAGTTTTGTGCTCAAATTCACTTTAAATGGACTTTTCATTATTTTTAAAAACTTTTGAAAACTTTTAATTAAATTCAATTAAGTCCAAAAACATTTTTTCCTTAATTATTATATCAAAATATTATAAAACATGGTTCAACAGTTTGACACGTAGCCTAATTTTTAATTTCATTTATTTTTTAAAAATAAAATTTATAAAAAATCCCAACATTTCCTATTTTCAAACAATATCTTAAAATTAATAGAACTCTAAAAATATCCCTAAAATGTCATTGTCGACCACCATTATCACCAATGAATATCCCTGAAATCCCGTTGTCGACCACTATTACCACCGATGATCACTCACTCATCTCTCGACCATCATCCACAACCCCTACACAAAGAGATTTGGGTCTTGGTATTTAGAGATTTAGGGTTTAGATTTAGGGATTTTTTGTATTGATGCTATCACAAGGGAATAGTCAATCGATGACAAGTGGGTATATGCTCAATGAGGGCGAAAACAGTGCGGGATGACCGACGATGAAGTTGATTCTTTGGGAGTAAAGTTTTATGATATTTTAGATTTTAGAGAAATTTTGTTTTTAAAGTTATAATAATTTTAATTTTTTAAAATTTATAAAAATCTATAAAATCGTCGCATGTCACACTTCGATTGGTTGAAGGGTTTTTTAACAGTAATGGAAAATCAAATATTTAAAATGGTAACGTTGAAAATGTTATATACACCTACTTTGATAAAAAAAAAGTAAACACATAAACGAAAAAAATATAATTTAAATAAATTTTTTGTAATTAACATGAAATATGTATAACATTAATTTGATTAAGTTAGTAACTATATGACTTAATTAAAATATATTTGTCCAAAAAACTCATCCTCAACAAACAAAAGTTAGCAAAAAGATTCTATCCTAGTGTTTTTACGTTTTCTCTCAAGTGTCGCTTGGCCTTTTTCTTTAGTTTTGTTGGCGGTGATGACACTAATATTAATATTGGTCATCAATCGTCGATAATTTTTATTTTTCATCTATTTTCTTATATTGCATCTTTATTTTTCTATTGTTTTTTAATGTCAAATAACTCTGCCTTAATGGAACGACTTTCTCTACCTTTATGACACGTTTTTCTCTGTCTTTTAACACGATTTCAATCTTCTCTATCGATTGTTTGGCAATCATTTTTTAGGGTTAGATTTGACATCTCCTGGACTGATCAAAATATTGTTTATCGTTATAATGTTGATCTTCTCTGCTTTGGACTCTTGGATTGGATTTGGATACATAGTTTGCGTTCGGGGATAGTTTTCTCACAATGCTTGACCTTGATTTGTAATTTTCAGTCGTATTTAAGTAGTTTGATTCCCTGTTATGGTTCGTTTGCTAATGTAGTCAGATCTGTTTGTATTTTATATTTCGTTCAAGTTTTTTGGATGGATTCTTAATATTCTCCTTTTATGGTCCTTGTTTGATCTCAAGTGACTAGTTTTGATTCTATAGTTATAGGAAATGTCCTAATTATTTATTTAGTTTACGCTTATGGTTGTAAAACTTCATTGTAATTTTGAAATTTTCTTTTTTAATAAAACTAGTGACTTCTATTTGCATAAAAAAACAGGTGTCCAAACTATGCCTCTTACTCACTTTAGGTGCCTAAATTTTTGTTTTTATTTTTTGTAAAAATAGGGCATAACATTTTCGACGTTGCCATTTTAAGTGTTTCGTCCATTATGGTCGTTAAAAAAAACCATTTTAAACGTGACACGTGTTGTATTTATATTTTTCTCGACAGTTTATTTAGAAAAAACTTAAACCCCCAATTTTTCTATAGTCTAAAAAAACCTCAAATCCATAATGTCTTTAATTTGAAACCCTCCATTATCATCGTCGGTCATCGCTACAATCTTTAAACGACCTCTTATCTTTCGTCACTCACCTATCAACTGATCATTGCTATTACTGTTGTTCCAATTCTTTAAATTTCTAAAATCCCTAATCGTTGGAGTCACCCATCACGTTGTCCCTTGTAAAATCCAATCTCTACTATGCAGATTAAAAATGTTGTTCCAATTGTGGAACATTCCTGCAAGACCGACTTGCTTAGTGAATCAAATCCATGAGGGATTTAGGATTTATGAATTTAGGATTTAGGGATAATGATAAGGGGATGATCAGTAATGGAGTTCAACAATTGGTGGGTAGTCGGTCGGCAACGTTAATGACTGTAGGGTGGCTAAAGATTGAGTTGATGCTTTGGATTTAGGGACTGTTTTTTTTTAATTTTAGTAAAATTTGAGTTTTTAATGGAAAAACAATAAAAAAATTATTTTGTTTGAAATATTTTTTAAAAAAATTTATAAGCATGTCACGTGTTATGTTTTAAGCGCTTGTTGATTTTTTTTAACGGTCGTGACGAACCAAGCACTTAAAATAATAACGAGAAAATATTACGAACCTATCTTAAAAAAACACTTTAGATACTAAAGATTAATAAGAGATATAATCTAGACAACTTGATTTTTTAAATAAACCTAATTATATTAATTCAAATTGATCAATACTTAAAAAAATAAAATTTTATAAGTTTAATGTCATTATTTTCATATAATTCATTAGATCAAATATATAATTTATTATATTATGAAAAAATAATTTATTATGCGATTTAATTCACAATTAATTAAATCAAAAGTATATTTCATTAAATCTTGGTTGTAATTGTAAAATTAATTTTATAATTTATCATATTATTTTTTTCTTATAATTAATACTCATTACTAATATGATTGTACGATTAGATTACGATTCATTTACTATTATTTTTACTTACAGCAATTAGATGACTAAGTGTATAATTCATCTTACTAAATTTTTAGATAATAATTCATTTAATTAACTGTACAATTTATTAGATGTATTGTTTAAATATATATAATGGAATGCATTAAAACTTATTAATTATTTTTTTTGAATAATTCCAACGTAGGAGAGGGGAAGAGGAATTATGCTCCTTATGAATATTGAACCCATAACCTAGGAGAGATGAATGTTTCAACTGAGAGATTTTAATCACATACTCTAGAGATTGTTGACGAAACTTATTAATTATTATAATATGTTAATCGATTGTATGTGAAACACAATCCTAAAAATGAGAAATATCGTTCCAAAATATCAAAAAATTAGTATGAATTCTATTAAATGTGGATTTTCTTTAACTTTCGACTCTTGACGTTTCACGTCCTTGTAACACTTCTTTTACGTCCATGATTCTAGTCGTATAAATAGTGGCTATGAAATGTTCATAATACACAAGCAATTGAAATAAATATCATCTCTCTCATATTATTAGTTGTCTCTCTTTTATTCTGTCTAGTTCTTACTATAAATTTATGGCTTTATAATACATTATGAGCATGAACTCGCTCAATATCGTGGCTATTACATGTAATTATTTTTAATGATTTTAGTTTGATATTTGCGACTACATCCACTTTATATTTAACCCAGCTTCTAATTCGTAAGCAAGAAGAGTGTGAGCCTTTATGACACGCATGTGACCTCAGACTACAAGTAATGTTTGCTTGTGTGTTGTGGATGAGTGTTTGAGCTTCGTGACCCGAGTCTCATCCGTGATGTTTTAGTGTGATTATGGATATGCATTGGATAAATAGTTTGATAACATTGATGATATTTATTAGAGGTGGGTATACGGGCTACCCGCCCGTATAAAGGCGGGATGGCTAAAGTGGAGGGCCGCTACTGGAGTTCTGTGTGACAAGAAGGTGCCTCTAAAACTTAAGGGAAAATTTTATAGAATGGCAATAAGACCAGCACTGTTGTATGGATCAGAATGTTGGGCAACCAAGAAGGATCACGTAAGGAGGATTGAGGCCGCAGAAATGAGGATGCTTCGATGGACATGTGGTAGGACTCTATGGGATATGACGACTAACTCTGCTATTAGGATGTCCTTGGGGGTGGTGTCTGTTTCCGAAAAATTGAGGGAGGGAAGACTACGGTGGTTTGGGCATGTCCTTAGACGACTACCATCGGATGCGGTCAGGAGGGTAGAATCGATTACAGTCGACGGTGCCAGAAGGAAAGGACGACCAAGGCGGAAGTGGGAAGACTGCTTGAGATCTGATTTGAGGGATTTAGCCCTTACCGAAGACAT